ATTCCTACCCACTTTCCCTGTAACACTCCAATCTTACCAGTAAGAAACCAAACAGTATTCATTTGTTTGCTTTTACCTGCAGTCCCTCTTAAGACAGTTCTAAAGGAAACACAGCCCAACTCCTTTAACTTCTCTCTCCCACCAAGGCACAAATATCTCGTTCCACGGTTATCTCTTTAAGCCTGTGCCTCACCCCCACCACTCAGGGTTTCACTCTAGATAGATGCTGGGTCATAAAAGACCTCCAACCACCAACTTCAGCTGAACAAGCATGGTTACTCCCCACCTAATAGTCAGAGGAGCAGCATTCCTAATCTATCCCAGTCTCTCTAGCCTCCCTGCAGCAGCAGCTCAAGAGTGCTGTTATCATGATAATAAATCAGGGCTAGGAAGGCAAAGCATACCTGTAGTCCTACCTGTCTTGGTAAATCTTAGTTTTGCCTCCTCCCTGGCAGCAGCAGAAATTTCTAATAGAGCATTAGAGCACAATATGCTCCAAACACAAAACTTTAACAAACAACTCCAGCTAGTCATAAATTCCACCTCGGAGTCTCTCACCTCCTTATAGTGACAGCTTACATCCCTGGCACAGGTAACCCCCCTTCAGAACCATCATGCATTGGATCTGTTAACAGCTGACAAAAGAGGTATGTGCATGTTTCTAAGAGAAGAGTGCTGTTACTATATTAATGAGTCAGGAGTGGTTGAGCAAAATGTTAAGGTGTTAAAAACCATGGCCGAAAACATCAAAAGTCACTGCTGGAGCAATGCAGCAACCACCTCCTGGTTCCCAAACCCTGTTATGTATTGGGTCATGTCCCTTGTAGGACCCCTGGTAATCATTTGCTTGCTGTTACTTTTAGCCCCTTGTCCTTTTAAGTCCTTCAAGAACGAATGAAAGACATATCCAATATAACTGTTAACTAACTCTTGTTACATCCTTACAGCCCCCTACCTGCCAACACTGATCCAAACCGTTCCAGCCCATAGCCCTCCTAATGTGGCCCTGTACCAGCAGGAAGTAGTCAGATCAGATCTTGATGCCCCTTTATCACTAAAAATACTGGAATGATTGGGCTGAGCTGAAGCAGGTCAGGGCCCCGCTTCTCTGAACGTCCCTGGAGGTCAGCAGCAGATGGCGCCAGATTAGATAATCAGGAAGCCAGATGCGCTGGGTTCAAAGAAAGCCATAAGAAGTCGACAATTCTCGGAGTATCCAGACCCCATATACTAATTGCCACAAATTCCACCACCCCTTTAAAAACCTGAGTTCCCGGCTGCTGAGCTAAACTTCCCTGACCTGTTGGCCTAGGTCACAGAACCTCGTCCGGGAGCTTCCCCTAAGAAAGTTATTTCTGTTTCTACTCTCCTTTGTCCTGTCAGTTAGGTCTGTCCGTCTCCCTGTACCTCAGTTTCACCTTTACAACAAGGACTCACCTCTTCCAAGGAGTCAGGATCCAAAGAAAGAGAGCAAATGTATTTAACAATGTATTTATACAGTGTCAGGACATGCAGGCTTTATTAATTACATACCTAACAAGGAAGGCAGTAACTTAACCCTAGAAGTCCCTGAGCTGATTGTGGGAGAAACCTAATACTAGCACTGGGGGCAGGCAGAGGGGAGTAGACTGGCCCTTGAGAAGGGAGCACAAAAGAAACATGTCTGCTCCAATTGATAAGGATCTCTGCCCGTATAATAATCAGCCATGTGCTTGATGAGGTAACAAGGTAGCACTATTATGGGAGGATATTGTGGGGATAATTTTTAATAAGGAGAATGTGACTGGGACTCTCCTTCAACTCACAAATATGAAGGCTTTCCTCTACCAGAATCCTGGCCTCCAGGCTTCTTCACCATAAGCATAGAGAACTTGTCTGCATACACTCTCTTCCTAGTTCTGTTTCCCACAACTCTGAAACTTGCTCTTAAACTGGAGTAGCTAAAGCAAATGGAAGCGATAAGGAGATAAAAGAGCTGACCAGAAAATTTCAAAGGGCAACTCAAGAAGACAAAGAAAAATAGGATAATGAAATGTGCAAAGGCCTAGAGTTATAAAACCAAAAGAGAAAAATATGCTCAACATTTTTTAAGCTAAAAGCACTGAAGAAAAAAATTCAAGCCTTGAACTGTAATACTGAAAAATTCTATAAGCAAAATATTGAATGACGTGAAAGCATCAAAAGAAGATGGAAAGAAAACAGAGCTACATGCCCAAAAGAACTGGTCAACATTCAACCACTTCATAACGTAGCTTATGATCAAGAATCAATGGTAATGAAGAAGCCCAAGTTGCCCTGAAGGCATTAGCAAAAACCAAGGCTCCAGGGATTGAAATGTTTCAACAGGCTGATAAAGCACTGGAAGCACTCACAGGTCCATGCTACCTGGCCAACTCACTAGAAGAGACCCAAATTTATACCCATTCCAAACAATGGTGACTGAACAGGATGTGGACATTATTGAAAAATATCATTAAACAACACTGCATCGACAGGGAGCTGCCAGAAATTCAATGCAGATTCAGAAGAGGCCATGGAATGAGAGATATCATTACTGATATCAGATGGATCTTGGCTGAAAACAGAGAATACCAAAAAGAGGTTTACTTGTGTTTTATCAACTACACAAATTCATCCAACTATGTGGCACATAGCAAATTATGGATAGCATTCAGAAGAATATTACAGAACACTTCATTGTGCTCATGAGCAACCTGTGCATGGACCCAAAGGCAGTTGTTTGAATAGTGTATGGTTTAAAATCAGGAAAGGTGTGCTTCAAAGGTTGTATTCTTTCACCATAATTATTCAGTTTCCATGCTGGGCAAATAATCAGAGAAGCTGGACTATATGGAAAAGAAGGAGGCATCAGGATCGGAGGAAGGCTTATTTACAACCTTTGATATGCAGATGACACAATCTTGCTTGTCGAAGGCCAGGAGGACTAGAGGCACTTGCTGATGAAAATCAAGGACTGCAACCCCCAGTGCTGATTGCAACTCAACATAGAGAAAACCAAAATCCTTACAACGGGACCAATAGATAACACCATGACCACCTGGGAGAAGATGGAAGTTGTCAAGGATTTCATTTTACTTGGATCCACAATCAATGCTCATGGAAGCAGCAGTCAAGGAATCAAGTGATACCTTACCTTGGGCAAATCTGCTACACAGGACCTCTTTAAAGTGTTGAAGAGCAAGGATGTCACTTTGCAGACCAAAGTGAGCCTAACCTAAGCTGCAAATGCATGTGAAAGTTGGACACTGAACAAGGAAGATGGGAGACGGAATTGGTGCCTTTGAATTATGGTGCTGGCAAAGAATATTGAAGAACAAACAAATCTTAGAAATGAAGATGATGAGACTTTGCCTCTTGTTCTTTGGACATGTTATCAGGAGAGACCAGACTCTGGAGAAGGACATTTTGCTCGGTAAAGTGGAGTAACAGCCAAAGAGGAAGACCCCCAGTGAGATGGATTGACATAGTGGCCGCAACCATGGGGCCAAGCATAGCAATAATTGTGAGGATGGCACAGGACTTGGCAGTGTTCCTTCTTTTGTGCCTAGGGTCTCTATGAATCCAAATGGACTCTATGACACTGAACAGGAACACTTCCTTGCCAAGGAGCGCTGGTCCTGCAATGGTTGGCTGCTAAGGACCCACCAACCACTTCCCAATAGAAAGAGGTAGCAGTTGGTTTCCATAAAGATTAAAACCATAAACATGCCACAGTCGTGGAGCTGATTCTCCCTCAAAGAAACCCTGTAGGACAAGTAGAACTGTCATCTTGCATTTCCAAGGCTGTCATCTTGTATTTTGCCAAAGCCACTGCCACATCTTTCTCCCTCAGAGGGGCTGGTGGGTCCTAATTGCCAACCTTTTGGTTAGTAGATAGGTGCTTTAACCACTAAACAACCAGAGTCCATTCCATAAATACTGCAGTCTTGTGGATTCTGTGGGAGCAGTTCAAGGTTAGCCAGTAAAGTCATTATGAGTTGGAATGGACTCTAATGGGTTGTTGGTTTTTCAAAACCTTCACCCACTCCACTAATAGTTCTATTCCCTTGAAGCCATTCCCACAACCCCACTACAGGCTCTGGTGCCCGACTTCTCCCCGCAATTTTCCACCATTATAGAAAGGCTAGAGAATTGCTTAGGAAAGTGGAGGAACAAAACGGCTGAGTTTGATCTGATTGTTGAATTTGAGTGTAAAAGTTGTGTGTGTGTTGTGAGTGATCCAAATTCTCATGGTTGTTCCTGTAATGTCCTTGCATTGTTTTAATTTTTATTCCTCTGAGATGTAGCTCCATTTTGGAGCAGTCCCGGGAGAACTGTTTTCCTTGCCATACTACCTCTACCTGTGCCCTGTATTTGTATAGCCAGGACAGGTCCCTTATGCTAATGGCTGCTACCTTAGGACAATAGCACCCGTTTTCCAGTCTTCTACCTGGAATTCTGAGAACTTCGTCAGCATCTCTGGATTTGTGGGAAAACAGAGAAGCCCACAAACAAAAATCGACATTGATCTTTCGGTGGTGCTGAAGCAGCAACGCTCCCCAGTTCTTGTTTGGGTACCTCAATGTTTTTTTTGAGGTTCATATTAATTTTGCCTTAACGTGTATTCGAATCTAATTGTCTTTCAGTGGTGACTTTTTACTAATTTAACTAGGTTAAATATTGGGTCAGGTTTTGAAGGAAAGCAGACATTTGAAACATTACCTGTTTTCTATGATTATAGCGCAGCACTACATTTATTTTATTTTTTATTAGTGTACTACTTGACTCCAGATTCTGCCTGGTCGGGGTGAAGAACCGCTGCCTGCACTGCAATAAACCAGCAGGTTTTGCATCCAGGCTAATTGCGCCCTTGCCCACGCCTTGGGCTTTTAGAACCACATTTCCCACAAAGCGCTTCATCTAGCAACTACAACTCCCATGAGGCCTGTCACATAGACGACGCGGAACGACAGTTTCCTGTTCCGCGTACAGCTGCGTGGCGGGAGACTGGGAGGAAGGTATGCTTTCCGTGTGTTTTAAGTTTCTAGGTTCTGCGAAGAGAACGAACAAGCAGTTGAACGGTTATCTTTGTTTCCCGCTCCCCCATACCATGGTCATTTCAAGAAAGTACTAGTCGATGGAAATGGGGCCGCGATTACGACGACGCCTTTTGCTTTGAGCTCGGTGCTTTCTGGAGGCACTGGCAGTCTCAGCAGTGGTTTCTCGTTCAGAAACAGTTTAGAGGACCCCGATGGCGTCGTGGTTACGCTCTTTGCTAACCGCAAGGTCAGCGATCTGAAATTACCAGTCGCCCTGCGGGAGAAAGATGAAGCTTTTAGTTCCCGGGATCCCACAGGGGTAGTTCTTCCCGGCCCTTTGGGGTCGCTGAGTTGGAATCGACCCTGGCAGTGATAGTAGCCCCCGTTAGCTTATAGTTAAAGGCTAGTAGAGATGGGGATGCCAATCGTATCTGGGATTGGCAGGCGTGGCGACTATTTTCAGTCGGAGAATTGCCGTACACTTGTTTTTTGGTGGTTAGTGATCACAGCCTTTTTGGATACCCCATTTGTTTGGAATATTCTAAGGAATATTTTACCACCTGTTTCCTAATGTTTTCAAGGTTAGATCCTTATTAAAACTTGGCGGCTTCCTATTACTAGAAATTTGCTGTGGGGCCCCACTGCACATTATCCTGAGTGAGTTGGAAGAGCGAGCTACACAGACAAGATTTGGACTCAAGTTCTGGTCTGTGTTGATTTGGCCAACCTCATCTACTTCTTTATATAATTTTAATTGCCTTGTAAATAAACTTTTATTTCATACTGTTTTGACATTTGAGACTAAATAAAAATCTTTCATGCTGTGGGGCAAAAAATCATGTAATTAAAATTTGCCCATGGTATGAAAATAGAAAATTTCCATCACCCCAGCTAACAACATGGTGTGACAGACTGTGTAGTGGTTCATGGGCTTTATATTTTTATAGTAATTTCTGTAATGATTTCTAACAACTATTTATTCCTGGTGGTACAGTGATGAAAGGCTTGTTAAATGAACCAGCAACCAGTCTATAGGAACAAGATGTAGCAGCCTGGTTCAATGAAGAGCAGAGCCTTGGAAACTGAATGGGGGTAGACCTACTATCTTAGAGGGGCTGAGTTGGGAATGATTCAGCTGGCAATGGTTTTTTGGTGTTGTTGAACATACCCTTTACTGATACATAGCAATACTGAATATATTTACATACCTTTACAGTCAAGGTGATACAAGAGCTGTTTTAATGAAACTACTTGTCACTCTTCTACCTTCAATACTAAAACTGTTATCAGATTTTAGATGTTCCTCATTGAATTACAAAGTAATTCATTCTAGTTAGAGTCCCTTGCTCAGAATTTGCATTTCTACCAATATAGAGAACCAGTACAAACATTCTAAGAGGAGCCGTAAGAATCTCCAGGGGATCCTGTTACAATGTTTTGTCATATCATGCTTTTAGTGAGCATCATTAAAAAGTGTTTCACACATCTGGATTTATTCTATTTTTTGGTAATGGGGATACTTCGTGTTCTTTATACACAATTGTGTGTCAAGGGCAGATTTTTCATTCAAATGTATGACTTTCCTTTCTGAGGTAGGAAATCCCGGATCTACAATAGTCCAGTAGGTAACCACTTCTTTCTTTGTTAAGTATTTAGTAAATACCAGGTGAAGTTGTGAAGTATTTAGTAAACAACAGGCTCACCAATTCCAAAATTCTTTATTGGCCAAATTGAACACCCAGAACTTTAAAAACACACATGAATCAAAACATAACAGCTCATGTTAGCCCCCCAAAACCAAACAAACCAAAAAACAAAACTTATGGAACAGAAATGGTGCTTCCTGACTCAATATTACTACTAGAACAAAATAGATCAGGCCCAGTTTTTCATTCTCTGGCATGATTTCTCTTGTAATTGCTGGAATTGAGAGCCAGAAATTAAGTCTACGTGTTTGGAGTGAGTTGTTTCTATTTAAGAGATATGAGGAGCCATGTTACCCCCCAATGTGACCTGAGAGGGACAGATGACAGCTTTAAGAAGGAGAAAGAGGGAAGGGAGGCTTTCTGGGCATGATGCCATTTGCAAGGTCACAACGAATACCCCAACGAAGCGCAGATCTTTTCTTCTCTGTTGGTACCAGGTAGTTGTTTGGAACGTATATGTGCTGAGGCTTGGGTTGGGGTTCTGCTCGACAAAGCATCTGCTCTCGAACACCCCACCGTAATTCCTTCCTATGATCTTCCCCAGGTAACCTCATTGCGTCCCAGTCTCGTTTGTACTCAAAGTATCGGGCTACCCGGTCTATCTTGCCCCGGTTTCGGCTTAACTGGTCCAGCCTTGGTAGAATAAAGGACTTGGGTCGGCTGGCAACAATCAGGTCTTGTTCATAAACTGGGGGGGCCATTCCTTCTCTTTGAAGATAGTAAAGGAGCTGATCTTCTTGAGTAAGTCTTTGGTATTCGTGTGGTAAACTAAATTTTTGTGACCTTTCATTTGGGGATTTCCTGTCTTCCTGGAACTGCAAATTCGCCAGCCTTTGTCTTAAGTCCCAGAGATCCGTCTCACTTTCCATCCCAGACTCTGATTCACTGACAGTCGATTCATCTGTCACTAGCACTTCCCCCCCTGGCTTTCTCCGCAGGACCTTTCTCTTCATCACTGGTTTTCGGAGTCCTTGGGAGGCCTCGGAGACTATTTCTGAAGTGGCATTATTTTCCACACGTGGAGACTGGACTTGCCAAGGAAGAGGTCGCTTCCCTGCGGTTACGGAAGCTTTACTGTAGGGATCGTAGTGGGTAGACTGGGCATCTCTTCCAATATCTCCCTCCCCCTGCCCTGCCCAGGTCTGGGTAAAAGCTGTAGCTGCTGCTAACATTCGTTCTTCTGGAACCATACTGGCCCATTTTTTCCCATCAGGTCCCATGAGTTCCTCCATTGTTTCCTCGGCACTGTAGGGTCTTCTGTAAGGGAAAGAAAAAATTGGTCAGTTTCCTAATGATAATTTCCCAGCTTACAAATTGCTGCTTCCCTTCTTGTCTATTGGTTTATAGCAGGCAAACAAAAAGATGACTAAGGCAAACATAGTAAATGCCACTGTATATTCACTGCCTCATGTACATGTGAAAAGTTGGACACTGAATAAGGAAGACTGAAGACTTGATCGATGCGTCTGAATGATGGTGCTGGAGAAGAATATTGAAAAGACCACGGACTGCCAAAGGAACCAACAAATCTGTTTGGGAAGAAATACGGCCAGAATGCTCCTTAGAGGCTGTCAGGAGAGACCAGTCCCTGGGCAAGGACAGCATGCTTGGTAAAGCAGAGGGGCAGTGAAAGGCCCTGGACAAGATGGGCTGACACAGTGGCTGCAACAGTGGGCTCAAAACAATTGTGAGGATGGTGCCGAAGCGGGCAGTGTGTCGTTCTGTGTAAATGCAGTCACTATGAGTCATCACTGACTTGCTGCCACCTAACAACATGTAGACCACAGTGGATGTTAGAAGAGACTCTGGAATTTGGTCTTAAATATAGAATAGCTACAGGAAGTGGTAGAAATTAGAGAAAACAAAGTAAAAAGTAAGAATCTCCAGGGGACCTTCTTAAAATGTATGTTATTTGGGCAAAATTTTGAATGATACAGAGAGCATCAAAAGATGGAAGGAATATGGCATTTGGGAGACAGATATCTGGCCAACTGATCCATAATTATGCTCATTCCAAAGTAGGGTGACCCACCAGAATGTGGAATTGTTGAACAATATCATTAATAAAATCACATACAAATAAAACTTTGGTAAAGATAATTCAAAATTGTTGCACAGGGAGCTGCTAAAAAATAACAAATTCACAAGAGGATGTGGGATGAGGTACGTCAGATGGATCTTATTAGCTGAAAGCAGAAAAAAATGAAGACATTTACTTGATCTTTGTTGACTACGCAAAGGCACTTGACTATGTAGATCATAACAAACGAAGCATAACATTGCAATGAGCGGGAACTCCAAAACGTTAATTGTGCTCTCCTGTTGGACAACGCATAGACCAAAGGGCAGAAGTTTAAACAGAAAAGGGATTACTACATGGTTTGAAATCAGTTAAGGTGTGTGTCAGGGTTGTATCCTCTCACCACACTTACACAATCTGAGAAGCTGGCCTAATGCAGACTGTGGCATCAGGATTGGAGGAAGTCTCACTAACAACTTGTGATATGCAGATGACACACCTTGAAAACAAGTTCTTGAAGCAATTACTGATGAAGAATAAAGCCTTTAACTCCAGTGAAGTAAACCCAAATCCTCACAAATGGACCAATAAACAGAAGACTGACGTTGCTTAAGATTCATTCTACTTTGATCCACAAGCAACACTCATGGAAGCAGCAGTCAAAAAACCCAAACATGTTGCAGAGGGAAAATATTTTGAAAAATATCTTTAAAGTGTTAATGAGCCAAGAAGCCACTTGCCTGATCCAAGCCAAAGTATTCTCAATCACCTCATATGCCTGTGAAAGCTACACATGACTAAGAAAGACCAAAGAAGAATTACTGCATTGGAATCCTGTGGTTGGTGAAACATGTTGAAAGTACAGGCAGAATGCTCTTAGAAGCGAGGATGGGGAGCTATCATCTAACATACTTGAACGTGTTATCAGAAGAGCTCAGTACCAGGAAAAGGATATCAAGCTTGATAAATTAGGGGGTTAGCAAAGAAGACCCTGTAACACTGGGGTCAAGCCTAACTACAATTGTAAGGGTGACACGGGGCTGAGCACTGTCTCCTTTATGACAGACAGACGGCTACATGGTAGTATGGGAATACTCTGGAAGAGTATTAACTCAGTTCAGGGAATCTATTACCTGCTTTCATTTCCGCTCTCTTATTCACGCCCATATTCTACTGCCTGCTCGTTCTTGCCACTTTTAGTAGCTTGAAAAATAGGATACATGAGGTTTGGCTTAACAAACATGGAAGACTACATGATATGGATTATGATACATAATATACACTATATAACACATGAAAAGGGGGCACTTTTCTGTACCTGGCATGGTTCTGTATGATTTATTTTTATTAATTCATTGTAAATCCATACCACCATTAGAGAGGTACTCTTTCTTAACTATTGTCCTGTTCACAAATTCGTAACATGGCACTCCCTTCAGAAAAACAAAAACCCCACTACCACCACTGATAAAAACAACAAAACGTATTGCCTTGAGGTGAATTCTGACTCACAGCCACCCTTTGGGACACGGTAGAACTATCCCTGTGAGTTTCTGAGACAATAACGATAAGAATAGAAAGCTTCATCTTTCTCCTGTAGAGGAGCTAGTGGCTTTGAACTACCATTGTGGTTAGCAGCCCAGTGCATAATCCACTGGAGAGGTTAAATCGCCTGCCCAAGGGCATATAGCTAGTTAAGTGGCAGTGTGGGAGTTCTAATTTAGCAGTCTAATTGCAGAGTCCTTGCTCTTAACCATGCTGTTATCAGCTACAGTCTAGTAAGCCCAACTCATGGCAGACCATTTGTGAGGCAATTGAACTGTTATGATCTATAGGACTTTCACTGTGGATTTTTCAGAAGCAGATAGCCAGGCATTTCTTTCTAGTCTTAGTCTGGAAGCTCCACAGAATCCTGTTCAGCATGGTGGTTGCTGCACATGAAATGGGTTGGCTAGAAATGAAGTCAAGTCTCCTGCATGGAAGCTGAGAATTCTGGGACTGAACGAACCCCCAGTGCCCTTGTTCTTAACCATAATTCACTGCCACTGAGTCAATTCCAACTCAGATGACAGAGAACTGACCCTGTGGGCTTCCAAGGCTCTAACTTTATGGGAGTAGAAAGCCTCATCTTTCACCTGTGGAGTGGGGCTAGTGGTTTCATATTGCTGACCTTAAGGTTAGCAAGCCCAACACATAATCGCTACAGCTCCTCGGACTCCTATCCATAAGATTAAAAAATCATCCCAATAGAAGTCTTTTTCAGACAATGGGGGGTGGGGTGTGTGTGTGTGTGACTCCTATCCATAAGATTAAAAAAATCATCCCAATAGAAGTCTTTTTCAGACAATGGGGTGTGTGTGTGTGTGTGTGTGTGTGTGCGGTCTAAGATACTTATCTACTACTATTTTCTTGTATCCCTACTATTTTCCTTTTTAAACTAATTTTCCAGTTTAAACTAAACTGAAAAACTAATACATATACACAAGACTCCTCAAACCCTTTACCTAGGAGTCAACTCTGATTCATATAGCACACCCCATGAGACAGAGTAGAACCACCCCAGAAAGTGTCCAAGGCCGTAATCTTCACTGAAGTAGACTGCCAACATCTTTCTCCTATAGAGGAGCTGGTGGGTTTGAACTGCTGACCTTTCAGTTACCAGCTGAGCACTTAGCCAGTGCTGGGCTCTTTAAAACTTCTAAAAAGCAGTTATTATCTCTCCAGAAATGTTCTGTGTGTATAAGTACATTGTAAAAATTATCATATGGGAGTATATTATACAACTCCTCTGAATCCAGTTATATCAGCACATGGAGACTTATTTTGTTTAAATTGCCTGTAATTCCAATGTGTGATATACCTCAATTTATTCAGCCAGTCCCTTATTGAAATTTTAATCTTATATTGCTGTGAGCTGGGATCAACTTGGTAGCAATGGGCTTTTAAAAATTAGTATTACAATTCATATTTCATAGGTTCAAAAGGTACATGCTTAATAGTTGTTGCCAATATAAACTCTATAAAGAATTTGCATTGTCTCTTCTATAAAATGGTGTCCTATCAAACTTTCTCATCTTTGTGAGTTAAAAATAGTGTCCTCATAAGTTTACATTTTTTGATAAAATTGCATATTTAAAAAATATTTATAAACTATCCCCCCACCCCACCCCACCAACCCCTGTATACAATGCATGTTCCATACCTACTTACTGCTTGGGTTATATTTGCACTTCTTTCTTATTGCTCTTACATGAAAAACTATAAATAAAATGTTTATATTTTTATTTATATACGAAAGCCCTTTACTGTCATTAATTTTTCTTCCTAGTATTTTTCTTTTGATCATTTGATATTAGGGGAGTAGGGATTATAAGAAAAATGTTCTTCCACGTTTGCTTCTAGTACTTTTTTTATTTTTAAAAGAAAATGCTTAAACAGAAAATTAAAGAGTAAAATACTAAATGAGGTTAGACTTAGATACTCTAGTTTTTAAACAGATGTGGAATTGATCACTGTTAACAATCACTAATAGAATGTGTGAGGTTGTCCCAATTTTAAGGATCTATTAGTTGTTCTCAAGTGACATTATTAGAATATGCAGGGAATTTAAACATGTATATCTAAGTTACATTATCCAGACTGTCTCCCGTTACTTGACAGAGGTACAGAAATTTTTTTTTATCAAAACATGCATAAAATTTTACTTAAAAAATAACAACTGAAACAATAATTACCGTTTTTCTGCCATCAAAACTTCTTAAAATGGGGCAATCTTGTCTCCAGGCTTTACTTTCAATGTGAAGTATGATCATTGATAGTTTCTTCAGTTAACTTCTAACGCACCACCTTTAAAACAGAACTGGATATTAGATGACAGAACATACAAGCCATTTATTTTATCTGAAATACTGAAAGCAAAAGAACTGTAATTAGACATGTATTCCATGTTTAGAAAAACTGGACAGATTAGAGAAACCAAAAGGAAATGTTTTAAGGGAAAATATCAATAAAATCCATTTTAACCATCTCAGTAAAACAAGGAGATGAAATCTAGACACTCCCCCTAAATTGGACAACTTAATCCTTAAGAATTATAGCAGAATCTTCTTTGGTGCTACTTTCTTTTATTTCTGTGAACTGGCCAGATGGGATTGAAAACAATAAAATATTAAATATTACACAAAATGAATTAGCCATAAGTAAGCTAATGCTTTAACCCCAAGTAAAAGCAAATCTATATTCTTTGGGCATTAAATTAGTCTCAGATCCTAGTTAAGCATAATCGAAAGATAATGATGTCACCAAAAGAACACACTGACACTGTCTTCTTATCCATGCACTGCTCTGTTTTCAGGTAGGGTGGACCTGTATGATTTGTCCATTATATCATGGCTGAAAATGACCTGCACAGAAGCCAAACTGAGAAACTTCTAAAGAGGGTGCAAGAACTGGAGGAGGAGGTCCAAAGACTTAAAAAGGAACAAGTCAGCAACAATAACTCGAGCAGAAGAGAAACTTCTTCAGGAAGTAGAAAAGCTAAGCGCGCATTTGATTTCAGTGCTCACGGCCAAAGGCATGTAGCTCTAAGGATAGCCTATCTGGGCTGGGGCTACCAGGGTTTTGCCAGTCAAGAAAACACAAATAACACCATTGAAGAGAAGCTGTTTGAGGCGCTAGCCAAGACAAGACTAGTAGAAAGTAGACAGACATCCAATTATCACCGGTGCGGGCGAACAGACAAAGGAGTCAGTGCCTTTGGACAGGTAAAGTAAGCGATACCAAGCTATTCGGTATGTACATGTACTGAGAATTCAGAGTAGTTGTATCTCTAAGATAAAATCTCTTTCTCTGATTCCATAGGTGATATCTCTCGACCTTCGTTCTCACTTTCCAAAGGACAAGGACTCAGAGGATTTTAACTTAAAAGACAAAGGCGATGATACTGCCAAAGAGATCCGTTATACCCACATCCTCAATCGGGTGCTCCCTCCTGACATCCGTATCCTGGCCTGGGCCCCAGTAGAGGCTACCTTCAGTGCTAGGTTCAGCTGTCTTGAGCGGACATACCGCTACTTTTTCCCTCGTGCTGATCTAGATATTACACTCATGAATTATGCAGCTCAGAAGTATGTTGGCACACATGATTTCAGGAACCTGTGTAAGATGGATGTAGCCAATGGAGTGATTAGTTTTCAGAGGACTATTCTGTCTGCTGAAGTACAACTAATGAGCCAGAACCTGGGTGAGGAGGGACGGCAAGAATCTTTCCAGTTATGTCAGTTTGAAGTGACTGGCCAGGCTTTCCTTTACCATCAAGTTCGCTGTATGATGGCTATCCTCTTCCTGATTGGCCAAGGGATGGAGAAACCAGAGATTATTGATGAGCTGCTGAACATAGACAAAAATCCCCAGAAACCTCAATATAGGTAAATAAATGAAAATAAAGAGACCCCACAGCTATCACCTGTGGAATGATTTTTCACCTGCCTAATAGTAATATAATGTTCACATCCTTCTTGCCAAATGATTGCTTAAGTAACTAAGTCATTGATTCACGAAGCTCCAAGTCTAACTTAAAAATACATTTTGAGGAGAGTGGATTCTTTTAATTTACCCCTTTTGTCTTTCTACCCCATTAATACAGAAATGGGCATTTGAACCAGGTCCCTTAAGCTAAGAACATGCATTTCCACATCTTTTTCTATTTCTAAGCTTATGTAAAAAGGTATTATGGTTAAGCTCTGGTGAACTTAAAGGAAGCACAACTTAGTCATACTAGATCTTAACTATTTTATATCACTGAGTAGTAATTAAGTACTACTGTATATTTGCCTCCTAATTTTTAATCTCTGAAATAGGACAGGCAGACAGTACACATTTTTCTTTTGAGAACAAGTTGAAGTCAGATAACTAAATGTAATTTTTTCCTCCATAGCATACAAAACTGGAATTTTAGTAATAAGTTTGGAAAAATATCACTAATATTACAGCATTATGGTAGGGCAAAGTTGACACTTCTAGGTGACTCGTTACCAGTAAGATTTACTCTAAATAAATCAAACTGAATCCTGATCTGCTTTTTAAAATGAAAATGTTGCAAAGTGGTTCAAGATTAGGGAGGATATTATATTTTCTTTGTTATTAGATAGATACTCAAGATTGGTATAATCCTATCCCCCCCAGCCCTCCCCCACACGATTTTTTGGTGGTTGCTATGTATTCTCATTTTTATTTTCTTTTTCCCCTTTTCTGCCTCTAGTATGGCTGTAGAATTTCCTCTAGTCTTATATGACTGTAAATTTGAAAATATCAAGTGGATTTACGACAGGGAGGTTCAAGAATTCAATGTTACCCACCTACAACAATTATGGGCTAATCATGCTGTGAAAACTCACATGCTGTTTAGTATGCTGCAAGGACTGGACTCCGTGGCAGTGCCATGTGGAAAAGGTATGGTAGGAGCATTTGAGAGTACAATTATGCACCATAATGAAAGTTATATAGGGCTATAGGTGAGGCTGTCTACTCCCACAGAGTTCCAATCGCAGAAACCCACATGGACCTGTCCTATAGGGTTGCTAATAAGTCAGTATCGATTTGATAGCAATGAATTTATATTGAGAGGAATGTTTATATAACCTTTGGAGGTGACTGATTTTGTTGTGGCACAGTATCCATGTAATGTTTGATTGTGTAATTACAGGACCAGAGATGGATGGAGTGACAGAGTGGAGAAACATCAAGCCGTCGGTCATAAAGCAGACCAGTGCCTTTGTTGAAGGAGTGAAAATGCGCACATATAAGCCCCTAATGGATCGTCCTAAATGCCAAGGATTGGAATCCCGGATCCAGCATTTTGTACAAAGAGGACGTATTGATAACTCATATTTATTCCCTGAGGAAAAAACAAAAAGCAAAAGGGACTGTAATGACACATTAGAGGAAGACAATACTATTTTGGAGAAGCCAACTAAAAGAGCCTGTGTTGACACAGAAATTAAAAGCATCATTTCACCATAGAAAACTCACCAAGATCTAAGAGGCAACAACCAGGTAGTGGTTGATGGGGTAGGGAAAAAAACTTATGTTTCTAGGATGAATGTGGTGATGATTATACAATTCTCCCTTGATATGTTTGAACGATTGAGCAATTCAATTCTATTATATGTAAATTATGTGCCAGTAAAACGATTAAAAAATTATTTCAAGTTATAGAAATTTTGAGTATCAGGTCTTAGAGAAAAACAAATGATAGGTTCTATATAGAAAATTGGGCCTAACAAGAAATAATTCAAACATTGTCCTATTCCTGTCCAAATGGTTTAAAAACAAAATCAGCAAAAAACATTTATAAAATGAAGGTGCATTTATGTTTACACCCTAGAAACCTGTATCGTGTGTTCAAAAATTCATTAAAACTTGAGCCTCAAAATATAATGCATTGTTTTTAAAAAGGATATACTCACTGTTCACCTGAATTTTCAAAAAGAGCTTTGCCTAAGTATCTTAATTTCTAGGACTGAATTTTAAATATTAAATTCAGTCAAAGATTTGGTATACAGGGTTAGTGTTACATCACTTCTGGAAGTGACCTACCTGAATAGGGTTCACAGCTTCTTAGGAGTAAGGAACTCTGGCGGTATAATGGGTTACAAGTTGGGTTGCTTACCACAAGTGGGTTTGTTGGTGGTTCAAATGCAGTTACTCCATGGGAGAATAATGAGGTTTTCTGTTCCTGTAAAGATTTAAAATCCTGGAAACCCACAAGGGCAGTCTTATGCTATCCTATAGGGTCATGATAAATTGGAATCAACTCGATGGCAATGAGTTTGGTGAAATTTTAATCTTATGAAGTATATAAATTTAGTGTAGAAACTGGTGTAGCCTTTTTCTCCACAGATCTGAACATAAATATATGGGGCTTTGTAAGCCACATCGTCTCTGCTCTCTTTTTTAAACAACCCTTTACAAATATAAAAACAATCCTTTGCTGATGGGCCAAACAAACACCACACACTGGGGTTTGCCAAACCCTTGGTATAATGGTTTACGGAAGACTATAAAAGAGGAACCATCTAAGCTATTTTATACAATAAGTGGAAACCAGTTAAGATGGATAAAGAACTGGAGCTTTAGGAGATATATGTATCAATGGCCAGAAATTATCCGCACATGCATCAGGGAGCTATAAATATGCTATATGGCTTGAATAGAGATCAACCACAGTTAAGGAAAGTAATCTAGGGTCATACTTATAGGCCTTCCTTAAAACGCTTAGATATTTTCTTAAGGGGCCACTGAGAAATTTAAAAGCCAAATAGTATTGTGTTGCAAAAATATTCTGGCAAAATGTATATTGACAGGGTAAAGGCAGAGGAACCAAGTGGGAAGCCATTAAGAGTAGTCAAAGCAACAGATGATGGCCTAAAAGGAATGGAGAGAAACTAATTTGAGATTAAAGATGCAGAAGCAATAGAGCTTTGGTTGACTGTACAATTCAAAAAGAGGGAGAATTGCAGGATAAGTCCTAGGTTACCACTTAATGAGTTATTGATGATTTTATATTTAGATTAGAAAATGAGATGGCTTTGTTTATTCTCAAAGCAACCTTGGTAAGTAACTCCCCCCAAGATGGTACTTAAATACCAATATTTCTTCAAAAGAGCTCAAAGTTCTCTTAGTACCTTTTTGAGATGCAGTCATTTACTTAATATGGCTGTTGAGCTGCTAACTGCAAGGTCAGCAGTTTGAAACCACCAACTGCTCCTTGGGAGAAAGCTGAGACTTTATTCCAGTAAAGAATTCCAGTGTTGGAAACACACAAAGGCAGTTCTACTCTGTCCCAATGGGTCGCTGTGAGTTGGAAACTACTTGATAGCAGTGAGTTCTTTAGTGTGAGGATGGGCTAAGGACCAGGCAGTGTTTGATTCTGTTGTGCGTAAGTTAACTATGGTTCGGAACCAACGCGATAGCACCTCAACAGTGAAACTGTGTAGTCCTAATACTGCTTTGGAAGACTGAAGGTAATAGGACCAGGTAGGAAGCTGTTAATAGTCACGATGATGAACACTAAAAATAGTTTGTTCCTATTTATGTTCAAAACTCCCAGGTATACAAAGATGCTTTCGATCCTAAAACTGCTAGTTAAAATATCATTAGCATATGGAACAAGCTGAGCATGAACCCTATGGAAGCTTAGTAGCAGATATGAGGCTCCATTAAGAGTTTCAGGTTTGCCTTCTCCCCAGCGGTTATGCTGAGAGTGCGGAGTCTGTGCTCCGGGCTCAGAACACACATTTTTTATGAAAAAAATCCTAAAAAACCTTTTAAAAAACCCCCCAAAAATTTTACAAAAAAAAGTAAGTGACCTTGTAGCACTGTAGCATAAGAAGGCACAAATACCTTTTATAATTTAGCAGAATAGGGACCAAAAATATTTCCATTTTAGAGGTGGGGAAATAATGATACAAAATTAGATTTATGTAATAAATCTAATAGCCAATTGTACAAATATTCAGGATTATGAATCATGCTATATTTTGGGGACCTGATTTGCCAACATTTCATACTGACCTGAGTGTTGTCAAAAAAAAACGTTGTCCTTTAATCTTATGTAAAGATCTTTTGAAATATAACATTTGGGTATAATATTCAAACAATTGTTTAAGACAAACCAAATACCTATCAATGGAAGAATAGATAAAGGCTTTGGTACATACACATAATGGGACATTATATATTGCTGAAAAAACAATGGTGAAACCTTGATGCATCTCGTGACCTGGATGGTCTATCAAAAGGATAAACACTGTATTATCCAAGGCCACTACTGTAAGGATAAAAACCAAGACAAAGACTTACAAATCAAAGGGAACAAACAGACCTTGGGGGTTAGCAAGGGTTGGGGGAAGGGCCAAGGGAGGGAAGATAAAGCAACAGAGATTAAAGGACTGAGAGGTGTTGACTCTGGTGAAAGGGAGAATGGAGGTCCAAAAACCAGTGAAAAATTTAGAGGTAAGTAAGGTTGAAAGGAGTTTAAACTGTTGAATACAGAATTGATAGTATGATATGTAAAGCCCCCAATCCAATTCACAATACAAAATCATTTAAAAAAGTGAACAGACTTAAATGAAGGATGTTGATAAGCACTATCTTCACATTTTATTGTTGCTCTTTGATTTTATAGGAATGCTTCCTTGGAAATGTACCATTCATTTCTATGTTCATGCAAGCCTACCCACTAAAAAGAGATGACACAGAATAAAGCAGGGACTGAAATGAGCTAAGTCGATCCTGGCTCGGAGGCTCTTTTGACAATGAAGCAAAAGATGTCACGAAGACTGTTAGGTTGGGTTCTCTCAAGAAGCAAAATCAGTGAAGCTTGTATGTGTTTGTATATAGAAAGAAATTTATATTAAAAAATGGTTTACAAATAGTAAAAGTAGTTAAGCCCGGTCTGATTCAAGTCAGGATTCTCCTGAATTGTAGAAACTTGAGAGGAAACAGGAAGACAAGGCAGAAGTCAAGGGCAGAGGTTAGCGGACAGACAAGTAAATGAATCCAAAGTCAGCCAAATGAATCCACCTTATGTAGCCCACTGATGGCTCCTGGGAAAGGCGGGCTACACAACAGGAGATCAACCAGATGCCAACTCCAGCAGAATGCAAAAGGCCAAAGAGGATTAGGCACTGCTCCATCTCTTGTACAAAAGGCCATATCCCCAAGGAGGTGTCAGCAGGATGTGGCCCTATTGATAATTTGGGCTCCACCCTAGGCTTACCCAAGTGAGTCTAGCTGGCATAATCCCTAAACATATATACTATATTACAGTATAATAGTAATTGTTGTTTCTTTTCCATTTAAATAATAGTATACTGACTGTGGGGTACCAGCTTTCACAATAGAATGGGTCTAAGGGGTGGTTATGTAATTAAGGGGTAAAATTAAAGAGACATCAGACAAGATAAAGCATGCAAGTTCTCACCTCTGGGACCTCCATGACTTCAAGAGCCAGGTCCTCGCAGAGAGAAAATACATTTCCAACCAAGGCATATACACTCGGGGCATACAAGCCCCTCTAATTACAGGTAACCATATATATAACAAAGTGGGCTGTACCCGGCTGTACGCTAACCCTAAAGGTCCCTGAGTACATAGGGGAGTAACCTAACACCAGTGCCCAGGGCAGGTAAAGGGGGAGTGGCTGTCTTCACAGCCTAGTGAGCAATAGCAGGGTCTGCTCCTATAGATAAAGCTACAGGCTAAGCAGCAGTCATGTGCTTGCAAGAGGTAACATTAAGGTAGCACTATTATGGGAGGATATAGTGGGGAACAATATTGTGAGAATGTGATTGGGACTCACCTCCCACTCACAAGGGTGAAGGCCTCCCTCCACTCCAGAAACCCAGTCTGCCAGGCTTCTTAATATGAGAATAAAGGACTCTCCATATACTTTCTTCCTGTTCTCTGCTCCCTATAACTGCCATTTTCCTCTTGATATTTACAATAGTAAAATATGATAAACTTTAAAAACTACATAAACAAAATACTATATAAAGACAAAACGTTAAAAATTCATTATGTCTTAAAACAGGTGCAATGCTTTTTTCTAAAAGTATTCGTCAGTCTTCCAATTTCATGGTGTGTTTTTTTTCTGTTGCATCTCTAATTTTACTTCTTAAGATTGTATTACTTATTACAATAAACACAGAATAAAGTCAGGTAACTATCAGTTCTTTCTAACAAAGATATGACAATCCTTTCTTTTTTAGTGAGTAGGAAGTTTTCTCATAGAAACTAGAGCAGCTTCTATTTTGTAGATAAATACAAATAAGTGTGCACAAAATACTCAACAGTGTGTTCTTTTCCATTTTAAGTGATTCAGTGTCCTAGGTTTACTACTTGTATTTGAGACTTAAAGGATTTCAAAGGTGATGGGAGAGAATTTCAACTAGGATAGAGGGTCTGGGTCAGTTGTGAGCATATAACCACTAGAGAGAGGCTATTGCAGAGTTAATATAAAATTTTCTACCTCTATGTTATTAAGTGCTGTCAAGTCAGTTCTGACTCACAGAGACCCTATGCACAAGAAACCCAAAACACTGCCTGGTCTTGTGCCACCTTCATAATTGTTTGTTTGAGCCCACTGTTGCAGTCACTGTGTCAATCCATCTTGTAGAGAGTCTTTTTTTAAAGCCACTCCTTAACCGTTACCATGTAAAATGTCCTTTTCCAAGGACTGGTCGGTCTCTCCTGATAACATGTCCAAAGTACGTAAGATGAAGTCTCACTATGCTCACTTCTAGGGAGCATTCTGGTTGTACTTCTTCCAAGACAGATTTGTCTGCTGTTCTAGAAGGCAATGGTATACTTTCAATATTCTTCATGAACACATATTTCCAATGCCTCAATTGTTCTTTTATCTTCCTTACTCAGTGTCCAAATTTCAAATGCATCTAAGGATCCTGAGCCCACCATTGCTGGGGTCAGGTGCACTTTAGTCTTCAAAGTGAAATTCTTAATACTTTTGAGAGAGGTCTTGCGCAGATTTTCTCAATATAGTATCACTTGATTTCTGGACTGCTGCTTCTATGAGCACTGACTGGGATCTAAGAAAGATGAAATTCTTGGCAATTTCAATCTCTTCTCTACCATGATGTTATCTACTGGTCCAGTTATTTAAACTTTGGTATTCTTTTTATTGAGTTCCAATCATACTGAAAGTTGCAATCTTTGATTTTCACCAATGTGCTTAAAGTCCTCCTTGCTTTCAGCAAACAAAGTTGTGGCATCTGTATATCAAAGGTTGTTTGTTAATAAGCCTTCATTCAATCCTGAGGCTCTGTTTTTCATATAGTCTAGCTTCTGGTGTTATCTACTCATCATGCAGATTGAACTAGTGAAAGGATATAACCCTAACACACTCTCTTGTTCTGTTCAAACAACTGCCTTTGGTTCATGTAGATTCCTCCCAAGCACAATTAGTGTTCTAGAGTTCCAATGCTAACCACAGTTATGATCCACACAGTCGAATGCCTTTGCATAGTCAATAAAACCTGCGTAAACATCTTTCTAGTATCGTTTTCTCTGCTCTCAGCCAAGATCCATGTTGGTCAGATGGCTGTCTTCCAGATTTCTTGGCATAGGAGAATGAGTACTTCCAGTGTTTCATCAGATTGAGACATCTCAATTGGAATTTTGTCAACTCCTGGAAGCCTGTCTTTTGCAAATACCTTCAGTACAGCGTAGACCTCTGCCTTTATTTTTATTTTTTTATTGTGAAACTTTTTATTGTGAACTCGGTGTAGGTTTACAGAGTAATTCAATTTTTTTAAAAACATTTTATTAGGGGCTCATACAACTGTTATCCCAATCCATACACACATCAATTGTGTAAAGCGCATTTGTACATCGTTTCTCAAACCATTTTCTCTCCATTTAAATCCCTGACATTAGGTCCTCACCTCTGCCTTTATTATCATGGGGTCTCGATCATACACTACCGTTTGAAAAGGCTGAATGGCAACCAGTTCTTTTGGCTACAGAGAATCTGTGTATTCTTTCCATCTTCTTTTAATGCTTCCTGTATTGTTCAATATTTTTCTTATAGAATCTTTCATTATTGCAACACTAAATTTGGATTTTTTCCCCAATTTTTCAGTTATTTCAGTTTGATATATGCTAAGTACATTCTTCCTTTTTGGTTTTCTAGTTTAAGCATTTGTACATTTTGTTATAATACTTTGACTCTGTTCAGCTCTTTCATGTCATTTCTTCCTTTAGGTTAGTCTTCATTCAAAAGAGCAAGTTTCAGGAAAAAAAATCATTGTTTTCTTTTCTTTTTTTCCTACCTCTGTAGAGGTAAACATATAGCTAGAGACTGATTGTATAAAAACAAAACCTAACAGCCTACCAAAAGGCAAAAGACATCCTTACCGAGGTGGGAAAGATGACAAGAGTGACTCGGAACATTTAAAGTCATAAATTCTATTTCTTCTTAAAACAGCTATTAGGGTCCAGTATTTTAAGGTCCCCTAGGAAAACAATACAGAAAAGAGAAAATGGTCTTTCAAAGAAATTATGACTCATAAACAAGAAGTTAATCTCAGAAAAGCAAAGGGGAAAACATAAGGATACTCTTCTAGTTTGATTAGTGAAAGTCCTCATTACCCAATGCTAGTCAGAGTATGCGGAAACAAGTCACCTACATTGAGTGGGAGATATCACTGACACCTCCTAAGAGGGCAAGTTTGGCACCACATAAATCATAATGTAAACTGTGCTATATTTTCTAAATAATAATTCCTTTACAGAATTACCCTGGACAAGAATATAAATATGTAGGAAGAAGGCTTCAGGAGATTGTGGAAAATTCTGTATCTTTTAAATCCAATTCCCCCAAACTTTTTGATGCTCACTATCTGCTATTTTATGATTATAAAGAAAGTGGAAACAATGTAATTATTCCTAGCTAGGGGATAAGGAGCCCTGGTGGTGTAGTGGGTGATGCATTGGGTTGTTAACTGCAAAGTTGGTGGTTCAAACCCACTGGGAGAACGATAAGGTTTTCTACTTCCCTAAAGATTTATAGTCTCAGAAATCCACAGGGAAAGTTCTACCCTGTCCTATAAGGTTGCTAGAAATCATAATCAACCTGATAACACTGAGTTTTCTGAGGTTGAGAATTGGTTAAATAAAACAATACAGTACAGCAACAAGAAATATAATGCATTCATTAAAGATTATAATACATGTCAATATTTGGTATTGTTCCCAATATACACACTGAATAAAGCATAACCTGCTTTTAATACTTCATTAATCATACTTACAAAAATATACTTCATTAATGTAATCATGCACTTATGAATGCGTGCATATTCACAAAGGAGATCTGGTTATGTAGTGGGTTATTCTAGTGGGTTGCCCATTGGGCTGCTAACAGATTTGTAGTTCAAACCCCTAAGGCGGGAAGAGGCAGCTTTCTGCTTCCTTTTATTTACAGGCTTGGAAATCCACAGGGACAATTCTGCCTGAGTCAGAACAGACTCCATAGCAGTCAGTTTGGTGGGGGGGTTATTTGTCTTTTTTGGGGGTGGGTGGGTTAATTGTATTTAATATTGTTCGGATTTGTTTCTAAAAACAATGGGAATCTATAATTTTTACAATGAAAGAAACGGTTTATTTTCATCATGAGGCTGACTTTTCAACTCTACCTGCTATTCTAACTCCTGACAGAAGTAGCTTCTTGGATGGACCAGAAGTTAGTGCTCTGTCCAGAAATCCGTCAGTGGTGTGACTTAAAGGTGAGGGAGCTTTTTCTTTCCACTGCAACAAAAATCGACAAATCTCCGCCATCGGCCCAGGGGTGTGGCTGTCCTCTTGGATCGTTACGTCTCCCGGGAACTTGTCTCCGGTCTCCACAGGTAACCGGAATGCAGCGCCCCGCGGCGGTCGCCAACCCCGGAGCGGGCGGCGTCCCCGTCGCCTCCGTCCGCGCGTCGGCTCTCAGGCCGGGCGACGGGGCATCATCGCAGAGAACCTGGGCGGGCACCTGGTGACTTCCCGGGGGCCCGGGCACCTCAGCGCTCCCGAGCCCGCAACACCCTACGGGTAACCCACTGCCCAGGCCAGCAGCACAATGGGGCAGGCTCCCACACCTGGCGGCGCGTCGGGGACGACTTGGTGACGAGGGGAGGGGACACTGCGATGCCGCAGCGCCGGGAGAACTCGATCTGGCTACTTCGTAGGGACCGCGCCGTGAGTCCCAGGGGAGCGGGCCCCCCTCAAGCTCGCGTGCACCGGCTCCCCCCGACGGCCGCGGAGGGGCCCTGACTTACCGAGACCCGCCGGCCGCCCAGAGAACACCAGCCCCGCCGGCTTCAGGTAACGGCTGCGAGCGGGCGCAGGCGCACAACGGACGCAGCGCCCGGGCTGCCGTTAACCGCCCGTCCTCTGAGGTTCAATTCACCAGAGCGAATCAGCGCTCGCGACCCCATCTCCCGCTCCCTTATTGGTCTCCAGGGACGGTGTCTTCCACGTCTACATCCCGATTGGTGCGCAGTTCGCTTGGCCCCGCCCTGCGGGGGTGGGGCTGCGGGTGGGAATCCTGGCTGGAGCAGACTGCTGGGCTCCTAACAGGGAACTAGATAATTTCTGGTGTCGAAAGTGTGGTTGCCAGGTGAAAAAACGACCAAAAAGCCGCATTGCCATCGGATGGTTCTCTACTCACGCAGCGTCCCTGTTGGCCGCAACAAAGTAGAAGTGCGCGTTAGGGTTTCTCTGTCCAAATCTTCCCCAGAGCCGAGCTTCCTTTGTCCTCCGCCTCATGGGAGGTGATTTGAATCGCTGACTTTAGGTTAGCACCTTGAGCAACAGTGCAACCTGCTGTGCTACCAGGACTTCTTAGCAGGCCATTAGTGCCCCAAATGCACTCAATACAGAGGACTGGTTTTGTTGTTTGTTTTGGAGAAGCAGAGGTTTACCCAAAGGTTGGTCGTTGGAGCCAACTCATCAGTGCCCCAGAAGACAGGCTTGGCCATCTGTTCCCATCAAGTATATTCGAGTTTAAATTATGAGCACTAAAATCTCAGAATACTATGGGTTGTGATGCCCTACATCCGTTTTCAGTCCCCAGGTAGATTCAGCCTACATTGAACTCCTACTAATCGATCAGCTGGTGATGTGGCCAGCATTGCCTTCAAAACAAAACAAAACCCACTGCGAACCCAAGAATCAATTCCGACTTATAATGACTACGGGGCAGGGTAGAACCCTCCTGTGGGTTTCCGAGCCTGTAAGCCTCACTAGAGTAATAAGCCTCCTCTCTCCTAGGTACTTGGAGCAGCTGTGTGACCACTATGCCACTCCGGACCTCCTTGACCCTCCACCTAGGGCACTGTGATCATCCCCTACATGACAAAAGGTCCTATAATTTGCACTACTACTATGTCTCCAACTTCAATTGCTCACACTGGCTTCATTGATAGAATGTGCATTTGCTGAAGGGCTTGCTCTTTTACTTAATTTGATTTTACTCTTTAAAAATATATATCTCATGATTGATGTTTTACACACACACACACACGGCTTGCTGGCAGTGAGTTGGGAATACATAGGCATTAGACTGGGGCCTAGTTTTGGACTAATGCTTTCAGTACAGTTTGAACGGCTTCCTTTAGCACCATTGGTTCTTGCTCCTGAAATGGTGGAATGTCAACTGGTTCTTTTTACTAAAGTGACTCTCCGTATTCTTTCCATCTTTCTTGATGCTTCCTGCATCATTGAATATTTTGACTACAGGATCTTTCAAGATTGCAAGTTGAGGCTTGGGTTGCTGAGTTCTTTCAATTTAAGATATGTGGACCATGTTCTTCCCTTTTGGTTTTCTAACTCTAGGTCTTTGCATATTTCATAATAATATTTGGCATTGCCTTCTTGAGCTGCCCTTTGAATTTCTGTATTCAGCTCTTTGACTTCATCATTTCTTCCATTTGCTTTAGCTACTCTGTGATCAAGAGCAAATTTCAGTCTCTTCTGACATCCACTTTGAGCTTTTCTTTCTGCTCTGTCTTTTTAATGACCCTTTGCTTTCTTCATGAAAGATATTCTTGACATCCTCCTACAACTCATCAGGTCTTCTGTCAATAGTATTCAATGTGCCATATTTGTTATTGATATGTTCTCAATATTTAGGTGGCATAGATTTAAGGTAATATTTTGACTCTTGTGGATTTGATTTAATTTTTTCAGCATTATCCTGAAATTACATATGAACAATTGTCAGTTCCTGGTCTGGTTTTAGCTGCTGATATTGAGCTTCTCCATCATGTCTTCCCATATATGTAGTCAAATTGATTTCTGTGTATTTCATCTGGGGAAGTCTATGTATACAGTTGCTTTTTGTGTTGTTTAAAAAAGGTACTGACTATGAACAAGACACTGGTTTTGCAAAATTTATCTTAATATGAATTGAGCATAGCCTGATACACATGTAAACATACACATACATGCACACAATCTTTCTTTTAATTAGTCTATTACCTGCAATTTATAAGGAAATGTCAGTATGACTCTATTTCTTGCCTAGATTTTTCCCTTGGTTAACTGCTATGTTAGATAGGCGCTCATCCAGTGGAGGCAATATGATAATCTGTAGCTCTGGGTTATATTAACTTTTCCAAGGAAAAAGCTTCTTATTTCAGTGGAATATTCTATAAAAGTTGAAAACAAAACAAAAAAATCCTTTGAGGACTTCTGGGAAGATGGCAACTGAGTAACACATACCAGAGGGACTCTGCAGAAATCAGCGCAGGAGAGTTACTAAGAGAAAAACTCCATATTGCCGGGTCTCAGGAGGAGATCATAAAGATAAGTAGGCATGGATCCACTAGGTTTTGAGGGGCTGGAGTTTTTTGGCTTACCACAGTGGAGGCCAGCTAGGCTTTGACCTTAGCGCCGCCACTGTCTCGGGTGGAGCCAGGAACATTTACAGCCAGTGCAGGGGCTTTTTCTCCACACAGCCACAGCATGCCAGTGCCTTGGGGCAGGATTAAATCCCTCCAGCCCAATGGTCAGAGATGGGGCTCAGCTATATTGTTACTTCTGTTTCCCTCACTTCTCTCTAATGCCCCACAGTATCAGCAGGCTTAGTTTGTAATTTTTTTCTTTTTCTTTTTCTCTTCCCTTTTCTCTCACAAGCCACTGCCGACCTCCAGACCACTCCCCTTAGCCTAGAGCATTTTTACCTGCGCTCCACCTGGCTGGGAGTGCTCCACCATCTGCAGCATAACCAGAGGCTGGGGAAAGCCTGCCCACCCTCCACCAGGGGATATCCTGCCCAACTTCTTCCTGGGGGAATTCTGCCTGCACCCTCTGAAAGTGCTTAACACTTGGCTAGGGAAATCCTGCCTGAGTGGCTGGGGGAAATCCTATCCATCCACTGTAGTCCCATGTGACCAAAGGAACTTCCTCCCGCCTGCTGTAGTGCCACACACGGCCTAAGGCATCTCAGCCAATACTCTCCAACCTT